GGACAGACCACAATATTCACCAGCTCATACAAAGGTCAAGACAATGGAGCACGCTGTGCCAGGTAGGAACCTGGCATATATGATATCTGGGACTGGGAGTGAGCCAAGTGGGAGAACCTGGGTAACTTCCACTCTGGGTTAGAGCTGCTGCTGGTAAGCATGTGGTCCAGGCCTGGGTGTTGGACAGGCTGGCACGGTAGGTCTATCCATTGGCAAATGTATGGGTTGATTTTGGAAGGGGGCGGACTGAGCAGGGTTGAGCAAACCTTAGTTCACTGGCAGGTGCAGAAACCAAGACCTGGAGCACAGGTCATACCAGGCTAGGCTATCAAACCTGATGGTTTGCATGAGTCAAGGATAGGAGCAGACTGAGCAGGGCTAGGTTGCAGCACCCACCATGAGACCTGGGACTGGGGGCAGGCTGGAGCAGGGCAGGCTACAGCACCCAAAGGCAAGGACCAAGACAGGGGAGGGGCTGTGCTAAGCTGGGTCAGACCAACCACCGGCACTCACAAGCTGGGAACAGGCCTGGCTGGGGAGCTAAGGGGGCAGCCTGGCTGCGTTGTAGTTCCCACTGGTGAGTGCAGGGCCAGAGTGGGGGCTGCGATCTGGTCTGGACATGGCTGCAGTGTCCCTTGGCACAAGTGTGTAGTGGATCTTAGGTGTGCCAGACTGGGCTGGACTCTAGCACCCACTGGTGCTCCTAAGAACCATGGTAGGTGTAAGATGGGCAGGGCTAGGTCTCTGTCCCTGCTGAGCCATGTGTGAGCTGTGTCTGGACCACACTTGGCTGGGTTGTAACACCCAAAAGTTAAAACCAGAATGGGTGAAGGCTGGTCAGGAAAGGCCAGCGTTCTTGCCAGATAGGAGGTAGACTAGGTAGGGCTGGCCCATGGACCCACTGGCATGCACAAGATCTGGCACAGGGAGAGGTTCTGATGGAGGAGCTTGGCAACTCCTCTGTTGGGACACAGTCCCTGCAGGTGAGTGCAAGAACCAAGACAGGGAGCAGCCCAGACCAGGTCAGTTAATAATACCCTCGCACATACATTTGGCTCAGGCCTGGGACAAGCCAGGCTAGGCCAGTTAATATCCACTGGTAAATCTGAGAACCAGAATGGTGTGGTCAGGCCAGGCTGAGTCACAATACAAGCCATTTCACATTTGAGCTGGTACTGGAGGCTGGCTGGGTTGGGCTAGGCTATAGCCCCCACCAGCATGAGCTGGAACGGGGGTGGGCTGGGCCCAGCCAAGCTGCAGCACCCACTGGCAAATGCTGAGGTGACGTAGGCCATGCCAAATTCACCAATGTCTGTTGGATGCAGCCCCCTCACCCCCACCCCCAGCATCAAAGTTCCATGGAATATCATTTCGCCTCCTGATTGTGCGGTCAGTAGGCAGTTAGGGCCTCTGGTCTCTAGTGAAATTACTTTTTAAAATATACAAAATTGGGCCTGGGGCAGTAGCCTAGTAGCTAAAGTCCTCATCTTGCATGCACTGGAATCCCACATGGGTCGTGCCTCCCATCCAGCTCCCTGCTAGTGGCATGGAAAAGTAGTTGAAGACAGCCCAAATCCTTGGGCCCCCGCACCACATGGGAGACCTGGAGCAGGCTCCTGCTTTGGACCAGATCAGCTCCAGCTGTTGTAAACACTTTGGAAGTGAATCAGCAGACTGAAGATCTGTCCTCTCTGTGTATCTGACTTTTCCATGAAAAAAAAAAATCAATCTTAAATATATAAATAAAAAAAATTGTGCCTCTCCCATTTCTTACCATTCCAAGGGCACAGTCTCTCCTAGAAGGGGAATCACAGGACAGAATCCATATATCAATCCCCTCCCTTAGCACAATCAGAATGGGAGAAGCAAGCCACCAGCAGCACCCTGCACGTCTTTGGTTCTGGACAAGGTGCTATGTTGCTGCCCACTGTGAATGAGCTTTTCCTTTTTGCCCTTTGAGCAACTCCCCTGAGATGGCATATAAAAGGTCCACTTTACAAGCTCTGGCCTTTCCTCCCTTGGCGCCCCCTTCTGTCACTACTGGCAGGAGCCTTTGTATCCTTTCCTAAATAGATTATGCTTTACAAACAAGCTGTCTGCTTAAAAATTCTTTCGTGTGAGACAAAAAATGAGGCTGATGCTGTGTCCTGAGTCACACTTGCACCCTCCGGGCCTGGAGTGGATACCCTCAGCACTTCGGGAACCGCTGCATTAGGCACCCTCCTCCTGCTGCTGATCAGACCTTGTGTTATTGTTTGGTTAAACGTGGCTGGCTCACTGCTAACTGCAATACTCACTTTTGTAACTTCCGCTTTGTTTGCTTGGCTAAGAAACTGGGAGCTCACAGGCCAGACAGCCTACATGACCATTAGCACAGACAGGCTTCAATTCCTATAAACTGTTGCCGCCGCCCAGCAGCAGCGACAACAAAAATGACAAGGCACACTCTTGAGGGTCCGGGAAAAGCTGGAACTGTAACCGGACCCCTCACTGCCAAAAGCGGCTGAGTTTAAATCCCTATCTCCGCTGCTCCTGTCCCCACTGGTCTAATCTTTCCTCTGCTGCTTCTCTAGCCCAATTCCGCCACCCTTCTTCCCATATTTCTTCCCGCACTTTCTGCTGCATTTCTCCATTCTTGTCCCCGTCTCTCCCTACTGCTCTTACTGCTCCTGTACCGCTTCTGTATCCCTCTCTGCCACTTTTCCTCCCCGTACACCTTAACTTTTCCACCCGAAGATCTAAACCCTTCTTCCCCTCTCTGCTGCCCCGTTCTTCCCGTTTCGCCTGTCATTCTTTCCCGTCTTTCTCTTCATCGCCCCCCAATCTTTCTTATTCGTCCATCCGTTCTGTCCATCCTCCGTTGTCTGTCCATCCTCCGTCGTCTGTCCCTTCGTTTGTCTGTCTGTCGTCCTTCCGCCTAGCTTTTACCAGTTACTTTTATATCGTTCTCCACTAATCACTTCTTCCCGTGGGTCCACTTGGTGCCACGTGATAGGCCAGTAATCACAGCGAAGGCATTAGCCTATCCCTGTGACTTCCCGTTTACCTGCTGGCGAGACCAACTCCGTCTCCTGGCCCTGGGCTAGCCGCCATTTTACAATGGCCCCTCCTAATCCTGGAGCGGCTTCAGCACCCCGCTCCCCACAATAAACCAAGGCCCAAACCTGGTTATCTCACAGAAGGCTTCAAGGCCACAGTCTGGTTACTTTAATTACTAGACCAGAGAAGAGCCAGGCACGGGCTGGCCAGCCAAGACAGGCAGGGAATATGTGGCCATTCCTCACCATACAACTTAAAGTGCCACTATAAAAACCTTGTGAAGGCCTGGCACGGTAGCCTAGTGGCTAAAGTCCTTGCCTTGCATGCACAGGGATATGGACCCTGTGTCCCTGCTTGTGGATTCTGCACCGTGTAGGAGACCTGGAAGAAGCTCCAGGCTCCTGATTAGCTTGACTCTGGCAGTTGTGCCCACGTGGGGAATGAGTTAGTACATGGAAGATCTTCCTCTCTGTATATCTGACTTTCCAATAAAAATAAATCAATCTTAAAACAAAACAAAAAACCTGTAAATGCAGTTTGGGGCCGCACTCAGGGGCACTGGCCCCAGTTGGTCAGTAGGTCACCTTGCCTCTCAGTGTAATAAACTTGGTTGTGACTATCACTGGTGTGTGTCTGTTTCAGCAGTCGAGTGGATGCAACAGTCCTTCCCCCCTTTCCCAAACTTCTTGCTTTGGGCAAATATTAAAAAATTTATTTTCAAGCAACAGTATACGTTTGTGCTACTTGTCTGAAAACTCAACAATTAAAAGAGGTGACTTGATCACTAGGCCAGCCTAACCAAACCAAGGGGCCCATGCACATCCATTTACAGCTGAATTCTGCTTTCGGCACAGGTGAGATAGTGACGAGGCATGGGGCTTGGGGTCTCCCCAGGGTGTCACCTTCTAGGTGGCCTGTTTCTGACACAAGGCAGACAAGTGCACTGACCATTAAACTGCACTTGATTTCTGCACTTTGGTGGAGAAGCAAACACACCCATCTTCCAGAGCTCCTAAGAGCTCAACTTAGAAAACAGGACTAAAGGTCAGAAGCAGGTAACTGACGCACTGGACAGCTAACCTGAAGGCCTTCTATAACAGCCACAAGAAGCAACTCCTGAGCCACAAAAGGGAGACTGAAAACTCTCCTTACCAGGCCACATATGGACAAAAACCAAACCAGCGCGGCTAGCAGCCAAAAGTCTTTGCCTTGAACGCACTGGGATCCCATATGGGCGCCGGTTCTAATACCAGCAGTCCCGCCTCCCACTCAGCTCCCTGCTTGTGGCCTGGGAAGGCAGTCGAGGACGGCCCAAAGCCTTGGGACCCTGCACCTGTGTGGGAGATCTGGAGGAAGTTCCTGGCTTCTGGCATCAGATCGGCACAGCACCAGCCATTGCACTCACTTGGGGAGTGAATCATTGGACGGAAGATCTTCCTCTCTATCTCTCCTCCTCTGCATGTCTGACTTTGCAATAAAAATAAATCTTAAAAAAAAAATCTGCCTTTCAAATAAATCTTTAAAACATAAATAATTTTTTTTAAATAAAAATAAATCCTTAAAAGAAAAAGCAGTTCTCGGGTATTACAGAATGAAGATGGGCGTGGAGGTGACAAGCCCCCAGGAACTGGATCAGCGCCCCTGTAAACCTGTGGCGAGCCTGCGTTCTCCACCATGAGGGCACGTGGAGAGACCGTGCGTGAGTAGGCGGGCGCCAGCAGACTCCAGAGCTGCCAGTGCCCGAGTTCTAGGTACCTCAGCCCCCGGAGCCCTGAGCGACACTCCTGCTGCTGGCGTGGGCGACAGCAGCCCAACAGGCTGAGGTGTCAAGCCAGCCCAGTGGAAGCTGTAGGAAGCAGACCGACTCCTAGAACGGTAAAAACCATCCTACCAGAGCGAACAGAAACTCCAATATTCACACTGAGAAGGTTCCTAGACAATCGCAATTATTAATCTGTGGATATTTTATAGTAAATTTCCCTTTATTAGGAACCGCTCACTTAAAGAAGCTAAGTGTGAGGGAGTCCGGTCACGGAGGCGGAGCCCTCCCACTGGAGAAGCATGCACAAACACGTCCTCTAGATGCAGCACAAAGAGTAAACAGAGTCAAGAATACACTGTGAAGGTACAAAAGTGGCTACAAAACTCCGAATTCGTTTTTAAATCTGCAATCACTCTGAGTCCCTAACTTCGTAAGAGAAAAGCGAAGCGTAACAGTTAAGTTTCTCCATGTTCCGAAGCTGTGAAGAGCATTAGTCCAGCCTAAGGTGCCTGGCGCCTCACACGATAGTAAAAAGTTAAGGGGTCTTCAGCAGTTTCTCAGTCCACTCTGCCTCTGGGAACTGAAGCAGAGGACGAGCCGTGCACACTAGGCCGGGCTGTCACACGCCGGGATGCAGCCTCTCGTGCTTGCTCAGAGCCGAGCGGTACCGGAAGGCTTTCCCGCAGTCGGCGCACCCAAAGGGCTTCTCCCCCGAGTGCACCCTCTGGTGCTGGAGCAGGCACGAGCTCTGGCTGAACGTCTCTCTGCACTCCTGACAGCTGTAGGCTTTCTCCCCCGTGTGGGTGCTCCGGTGCTCTGTGAGGTGGGTGCTCCGGCTGAAGGCCTTGTCGCACTCAGTGCATTTGTAGGGCTTCTCCCCGGTGTGGGTGCGCTGGTGCTGAGTCAGGTGAGAGCTCTGGCTGAACGTCTTCTCACACCTGTCACACTGGTAAGGCTTCTCTTCCGTGTGAGTTTTCTGATGCTGGGCGAGAGACGAACAGTGCCGGAAGGCCTTGCCGCACTTGGCGCACTCGTAGGGCTTGGCGCCCGTGTGAATTCTCTTATGCTGCGTGAGGTGGATGTTCTGGTTGAAGGCTCGCCCGCACTCGTTACACTTGTAAGGCCGTTCCCCAGTGTGGATCTTCCTGTGCTGGATGAGGGACGAGCCGTAGCTGAAGGTTTTCCCGCACTCGTGGCACTGGTAGGGCCTCTCTCCGGTATGGATTCTTTCGTGCTTGGCCAGAGAGGAGCTGCGGATGAAGGCCTTGCCACACACCTTACACTCGTATTCTTTCTCCTGGCTGTGGGTCTTCTGGTGCTGGTTCAGGTTGGAGAGGTAACTGAAGGCCTTGCCGCACTCACCGCACGCGAAGGGCTTCTCCCGGGTGTGGATCCTCCGGTGCTGAGTCAGGGACGAGCAGTAGCTGAAGGCCTTCCCGCACTCCGTGCATTTGTAAGGCTTCTCTCCCATGTGAATCTTGAGATGCTGGGCCAGCGACGACCAGTAGCTGAAAGACTTCCCGCACTCGGCGCAGTCATACGGCTTCTCCCCCGTGTGCGTCTTCTGGTGCTGCGTGAGGTTGGAGTGCTGGCTGAAGGCTTTCCCGCACTCGTTGCACTCGTACGGCTTTTCACCAGTGTGAATCATGTGGTGGCGGATGAAGGTGGAGGGGCCGTTGAAAGCCTTCCCGCATTCATTGCATTTGTAGGTCTTCTCTCCGGTGTGGATTTTCTGATGCTGAGTAAGGTGTGTGCTCCTGGTGAAGGTTTTATCACATTCATCGCATTTAAAGGGTTTCTCTCCCGTGTGAATTTTCTGATGTTCCAAAAAGTGTCCTCTCTGGCTAAAGGCCTTCCCACAGTAGTTGCAAGTGTATGGCTTCTCCCCAGTGTGTATTCTCTGGTGCTGAACCAGGTGGGTCCTCTGGCTGAAGGCTTTGCCACACTCGTCACATTTATAGGGCTTTTCTCCAGTGTGAATCCGCTGATGCTGCGTCAGGGACGGGCCCTCAATGAAACCTTTCCCACAGTGATCACATTTATAGGGTTTGTCTCCAGTATGGATCCTTTGATGGTTTATGAGGTTTTCGCTCCGGCTGAAGGCTTTTTCACATTCATTGCACTTGTAGGGTTTTTCTCCAGTATGTGTTCTCTGGTGGCGAATAAGAGCTGAGCAGTAACTAAAAGCTTTACCACATTCATTGCACTTACAAGATTTTTCTTTTTTAACGGGATTCGAGTTCTGTTTGACTCTTGTTTTAGCAGAGTTCTGTTTTGGAGCTTCTTCCCGCTGTGTGCCAGTGCCAGTGCCTGAACTCCCACTGACAACCTTACCAAACCCTTCCTGCAGCGCCCCACCGCCCGGGGTGGCCACAGTCACGTCCCTGGACACTGTCCGTGGCTCTGCCTGCTGCCTCTCGAGACTGCCTTCTGATGCCACAGTCTCCAGGAACCTGGAGCTCCATGGGTGAGCCTTGCTGTGTGTTCCCACCTCAGCAATCTCTGCTTCTGGGCTTGACGCCCTATTTTCACATTTTGTCTCCAAGTCTGAAAGAAGAAAGAGAATGGCCAGTCTTCTCTGCATGGAAACAAAGAAAACTGCTGCTGTGGGACAACCCAGGTGCGACCATCATGCACAAAGCCTCAAGAGATGACACCAAGTTTTCAAATACACAGCCTTACTATTTGGGGAGAAGTCAGAGGGCGCTGAGGAGACCAACAGACAACAGCAAATGGCAAGAGGATGTCTAGCACAGGCTCACACACCATCTCTGAGAAGCAGTAATAGATGTGGCTACATTCAGGAAGATTAATTTTTTAAATAATCACAGGGTAGGCACTCGGCACAGCAGTTAGGCCACTGCTTGGGGCTGGTGTGTGGACTCAGCTGGCTAACCCTCTACCTCTGAGCACCAGCATCTCATTTGGGCACCGGTTTTTGTCCCAGCTGCTCCACTTCCCAACCAGCTTCCTGCTTGTGGCCTGGGAAAGCAAGCAGAGGACAGGCCAAAGCCTTGGGACCCTGCACCTGCGTGGGAGACCTAGAACAAACTCCTGCTCCTGGCTTCGGATCGGCTTGGCCCCTCCCTTGCAGCCACTCTGTCTCCTTCTCTCTGCATATCTGCCTTTCCAATGAAAATAAATAAATCCCCAAAACAGAATATAATTAAATATCAGGAACCAGGAACTTGAACCAATAGCTACATCGTCAGTGCAGCACGAGGCGAGGATAATTTTACTGAAATAAGACTCTTTCTGGTAATGACAAGTGTTTTTTGAAAAGCCTGGGTTCTTTTCAATACAGATTTCAACATTTAAAATTGTTCTCTATCTGATAAAATGTTTCTAAAACTATATGTATATATATATATACACACACACACACACACATATATATATATATATATTGTTAAGCTCTATTTATCACAAAAGTTATCTTAGTTCTATGAAACTACTTTGTGAGAGAAAGGCTTTAGGATGTGGAATGTGAAATGGGTGTTTGACTCAACAGTGAAGCTGCCACCTGGGATGCCTACATTCCAACCAGAAAGAGCGGGCTCAGGTCCCCGCGCTGCTCCTGCCACCAGGATGCCCAAGAGGGCCAAGAGGGGGTGGGCTCAGGTCCCCCCCGCTGCTCCCGCCACCGGGATGCCCAAGAGGGGGCGGGCTCAGGACCGCCCGCTGCTCCTGCCACCGGGATGCCCAAGAGGGAGCAGGCTCAGGTCCCCCCGCTGCTCCCGCCACCGGGATGCCCAAGAGGAAGCAGGCTAGGGTCCCCGCGCTGCTCCTGCCACCGGGATGCCCAAGAGGGGGCGGGCTCAGGACCGCCCGCTGCTCCTGCCACAGGGATGCCCAAGAGGAAGCAGGCTAGGGTCCCCGCGCTGCTCCTGCCACCGGGATGCCCAAGAGGGGGCGGGCTCAGGTCGCCCCAACTTTCTTCCACTACAGCTTCTTGCAGATAATGCGTCCTGGGAGGTGGCATGTGACACTCAAACAGCTGGGTCTCTGTCACCCATGCAGGAGACCTGGGCTGAGTTCCTGGCTCCTGGGTTTAGCCCAGCTGCCATGGACATTGGAAGCAGGGGTAGGAGACCTCTCTCTGCCTTTTAAGTACATGACTGAATGAATGAGTGAATGAAGATGTGATATGAAATCACAAAGCGAAAGGGACAAACAGGAGAAACAATTCAATGTGACGCTCTCGGGAACTCGTTATGGCCTAGCTGCCCCTGCAAACACTCTGAGGGCAGGTGCTTGGGGCAGGGCGAAGTTGCTTTTCAGGAAGGTCACATATCCAAGTGCTCTGGTCTGGAGTCCTGGCTCTGATCCCAACTATTACACATCTTGGGAGATAGCAGCTGTCCGCTGCAGTGCGTGGGCCACCCCATCCTTGTGCAAGACTTTGGGACAGGTGTACCACCACACAAGCTGCACACCGGGCTGGGGGGCAGGCCATAGGGCCGCTGCATGCTTTTAATGTGGGCAGAACTGCAGCCATGGGGCCGCTGCCTCAGGCCAGGCTGCTGCACCAGCCTACGTGCATTAAACAGCCAAGGCCATAGGCATGAGGCCTAAAGAAATAACACCATGGGCCACCCCAGGGCCAGGCCACTGCACCCTACAGAGTGCACGGGAGCCAGGGATGGGAACGGGTCAGACAGGGGTTAAACAGCTGATGACACGTGCTCCCAGATGTCCTGCTCCTGCACCCATCGGCAAGCATGACTCAAGAGCAGGCGGGGGGAGGGGAGCCTGAAGAGCTGGCTCAATGCCTGTTCTGGCAGGGGAGGGGGACTGGGGAACAGCTTCTTGTGTGAGTAGCCTGAGCTTCCGTCTCAAGATGGCCTCAAACCATCAGGATCCCCAATCTCAGAGATCAGAGCCGATGGGTGCATGGCCCGCCTTGGTCCACATGTGACATGACAGGCCACCTTTGTGCCAACTCTCTGCAAAGGGAAGAACACACCCAGGTAGACATGAAACTGAGATTCCTCAGGTCAACCGAAGACCTTAAGTAGCTCATCAAAGGGCAGAATGATAAGTAATTTGACCAACTCTTGGGGCCAACTTCTACAGCAAGTTCCCAAGTTGTGGTTGTTCTGTCTCAGGTGGTTATGGACAACGAAGTGGCCTCAGAATTTATACTAAGAAAATAATGCCTCCATGGGGATAAATGGTAATTGTCACTTCTTCCCCAAACAAAGCCAAGAGCTCCTCAAGAGTAATGAAGGTGATATGGGACACACAGCCACTGGCACTGAATAGGAATTCTTCGGCTTGTGAGAGGGATCCGCCAGATGAGACAGCCTGCCAAGCCCAGCATAGGTAAGGCCTACGTCCCTAACAGGCAGGCAGTAACTACACAAGATGAATCTGTACCCTCAGCAACCCCTAGGATTAAGGGTTATAAATCTCCAAAGGAATCAAACAGGACAGCTAACTTAGGGTCACAAGCTGAAGTCGCAACCCTGACTCAGCAATATGTGAATCCCACCTGACTATCAATCAAACAGGGATTCCGGGGGCAGTGCACACGGAATCGGGCTCTCTCTTCCCACAGACACAGGACAAAAGGCAGAAACAGCTCTCTGTCCCCCGCCTCTCCTGTCTGGGTCCATGTAGCCATGATTACTTTACCTTTTAAATAAGCTCTCTATATAAAAGCACGCAATCAAGGGCCCAAAGCAGGGAGCATCCAGGAGGTTCTGTCAACACAGAAGATGACGAGGCACTGAGACACACTGAGTGACAAGACGCGGGTGGGAATTCAGAAGACACAGCAGATACTTTGGACTCCAGCCACACTTCCCAACAGTGGACAGCTGGGAAAGTTGGAATTCATGGTTCCCATCCGCTGTCATCCATGACCTACCTCCAGACGCACCGACGAGAAGGCCTGGCCCCAGGATCCACGGCTCTGTTCCTTGCTCTAGCTGGGAAATCATATCCGGTTTGGAAACCTGGAGTCCTGCTCATGGGGAGAAACAAAAGGAATCTGTGCGACTGGCAGAAGGACCACAGCAGAGGTACATTCAGAGAAACGTTCCGAGTTCCAGACATGGTGGGGCGACAGCTTGGCTCAGAAAGTATTACTCTGTCCCTCTGCTTGCCAAGAGAGTGTACAAACAACTTTAAAAGCATCTCAAATCTACAAATGTTGATTCCTAAACTGAAAATACACAGGAGCAGAGCCCTGATCTCAGCCCCGGGGTGTGCGCTTACCTATTGAGACCAAGTGTGTATAATTTTCCAAGGTCACGTCCCTGAATAAATCTCTCTGTATGGGATCCAGCTGCTTCCATTCCTCTTGAGTGAAGTCCACTATCACGTCCCTGAAGGTCACTGATTCCTGAAACATCAAACAGGTTTCTGCTTAATTATTCACTCAGGAAAAGAGGCAGGCCACGAAGTCTGAGGGCAGTGCAGACTCTAGGTTTGCTGAAAAAGGGTCTCCACATGTCCCTTGAAAAATGAATATACACAGATAGATACATATGTCTACATATATGTACATCTCATGAGAATAAATGAAGTGATACAGCATGGTAACCCACAGACTTCAGTGTCAGCATCCCATAAGGCTGCAGGGCCTGGCTGCTCCACTTCCAATCCAGCTCCCTGCTACAGCACCTGGAAAGCGGAGGAGGATGACCCAAGGGCTCGAGCCCCTGCACCCACGTGGGAGATCTGGAGGAGGCTCTGGCTCTCGGTTTCAGCTTGGCCCCCAGTCCTGGCCGTTGTGGTCATTTGGTGAGTGTGAGCCAGCAGATGAACAGATGAAGGTATGTAACTCTGCCTTTCCAAAACAAAACAAAACAAAAAACAAAAACCAAAAAGGAAAGAAAAAGTGTTTAGTCAGCTATCAGTACTGACCCTTACTCATCGTCTCCTCCCCTCTCTGCCCTAAGACGTCACACAGTGCAGCAGAACTACCACCAGTAATAGTTTTCCTACCATCTACTATATGCAAGAAGGCTCCGATTTTTTTTTAAAAGGAGGACGATGGGCCTGGCGCAGTGGCCTAGCAGCTAAAGTCCTCACCTTGAACATGCTGGGATCCCATATGGGCGCCGGTTCTAATCCTGGCAGCCTCACTTCCCATCCAGCTCCCTGCTTGTGGCCTGGGAAAGCAGTGGAGGACGGCCCAAGGCCTTGGGACCCGGCACCCGCATGGCAGACCTGGAGGAGGTTCCTGGTTCCTAGCTCCAGATTGGCACAGCACTGGCCATTGCGCTCACTTGGGGAGTGAACCATCATATAGAAGATGTTCCTCTCTGTCTCTCCTCCTCTCTGTATATCTGACTTTGTGATAAAAATAAAACAACAACTACAAAAAAGGAGGACGAGGATTTGTGCTACTACACTTCAAAATATACCAAAAGATAAAGTAATTAAAACAGGAAAGGAAGGAGGCCTGGACCCAGTGCTGAGGCAGAGTGGGCTCCATTCAACTTCCACTTTGCGTTTCAGTTCTACTTCTGATCCAGCTCTGCTAGCATGCTTGCAAAGGCAGCAGCAGATGGCCCAACTGCTTGAGCCCCTGAAATCAGCCGGATGGAGTTTCAGGTGCCTGGCTCAGTCCTGGCCCAGATCTGGCTGCTGAAGTCATTTGACAAAGGAGTAAGCCAGTGGTGGCAGATCTGTCTCTCCTCTCCGCAACTCTAACAAGTAAGTCCAAAATAAATAAAATATAGAAGCAACAACAACAGTGAAGGACCAGGCTGTGCCCAAGATCTGCTCTGCCAATCCCTGCCTCAGTATTTCTGAGCTGCCAACACTGTGGAGTGCTTGGGCATAGCATGGCTGGTGTAACACCCAAATACAGTAAACTGGGGGCCAAACAGGCAGGAGTCACCCAGACTTTGACTACATAGAACATTCCATCCAGTCTGAGTGCCGGCAGGACTTCATTCTCCAGTCACACCTCAACGTACAATGTACATGAACCAATGTTACTGCAGTGTCCTCTGTGCAGAAGGAAAAAATATCAATCGCAGGGCTGGCGGCGTGGCCTAGTGGCTAAAGTCCTCGCCTTGAATGCACCAGGATCCCATATGGGCACCAGTTCTAATCCCGGCAGCTCCGCTTCCCATCCAGCTCCCTGCTTGTGGCCTGGGAAAGCAGCTAGAGGACGGCCCAAAGCCTTGGGACCCTACACCCGTGTGGAAGACCTAGAAGAAGCTCCTGGATCCTGACTTTGGATCGGCCGTTGTGCTCACTTGGGGAGTGAATCATTGGATGGAAGATCTTCCTCTCTGTCTCTCCTCTCTGTATATCCACCTTTCCAATAAATAAATCTTAAAAAAAGAAAAGAAAAAACATCGATTACAATGTTCAGGACGAGTGGTTCAGAAGGTGTGCTGCCTCCACACCAACACCTTCAGCACGTTACTCTAAGCACGAGGGGCTGGGCTAAAGGACAGAGTGGGTGGGGACAGTCACAGCTCCTGCAGCCACGGCTGCCTTCTCAAAGTTCTCAGGATTTTTAGAGATTTATTTTATTCTTATTTATTTAATTATTTAAATTGAAAAAATCAGATATACAGAGAGGAGGAGAAACAGAGAGGAAGATCTTGCATCCGATGGTTCACTCCCCAAATGACCGTAACAGCTGGAGCTGCACCGATCTGAAGCCAGGAGCCAGGAGCTTCTTCCAGGTTTCCCACGTGCATGCAGGGTCCCAAGGCTTTGGGCTGTTCTCTGCTGCTTTCCCAGGCCACAGGCAGGAAGCTGGATGGGAAGCAGGGTTGCTGGGATTAGAACTGGTGCCCATATGGGATCCCAGCATGTTCAAGGTGAGGACTTTAGCTGCTAGGCCACCGTGCCAGGCCCTATTTTAATTTTTATTGCAAAGTCAGCTATACAGAGAGGAGAGACAGAGAGGAAGATCTTCCGTCGGCTGGTTTACTCCCCAAGTGGCCACAATGGCTGGAGTCGATCAGAAGCCAGGAGCCCGGAGCCTGCTCTGGGTCTCCCATGTGGATTCAGGGTCCCAAGGCTTTGGCCCACTCTCAACTGCCTTCCCAGGCTACCAACAGGGAGCTGGATGGGAAGTGGGGCCTATGGGATTAGAACTGACATCTATATGGGACCCTGGTGCATGCAAGGTGAGGACTTTAGCTATTAGGCTACAATGCAGGGCTCTAAAACTCTCAGTTTTTTTCCTGCAACATTACAACTTAACTTCTCTTCCATTAAAATCACTATTAAAATTTTTAAAAGGGCCTGGCATGATGGTCTAGTGGCTAAATTCTCGTCTTGCAAGCACCAGGATCCCATAGAGGTGCTGGTTCATGTCCCAGCTGCTCCACTTTCCACCCAGCTCCTGCATGTGGCCTGGGAAAGCAGCAGAGGATGGCCTAAAGCCTTGGGACCCTGCACCTGCATGGAAGACCCCAAAGAAGCTCCTGGCTTCAGCTCAGCTCCGGCCATTACAGCCACTTGGGGAGTGAACCAGTGGATGGAAAATCTCTCTGTCTCTCCTTCTCTTTGTAAATCTGCTTTCTCAATATAAATAAATAACCTATCTTTTTTAAAAAAATCATAAAAGGCCTACAGAATAGTCTTTTTCCAGGTCTTCCACTTGGGTGCGGGGGCCCAAGCACTTTGGCCATTCTCTACTGCTTTCCAAGCACATCAGCAGGGAGTCAGATCTGAAGTGGAGCAGCCAGTACACGAACTGGCGCCTAAATGGGATGCTGATAGCAGAGGCAGAGGTTAGCCTATATGTTATGGAGTCTTTCAGCCCAGAGGAACCGGGGGCACGCAGAAAGCCCCTAGGTGGTGCCAAAAGTTCCCGCACAGAATAGTCGCCCCACACCCAGTCAAGTGGAGTTGACCAATCAGAAGACAACACAAACTTTTACATCAAGCCCTGTCCTCAATACTTAAGGAATGCACAGTTTAGTGCAGGTGGACTTCACCAGCCCCTGGACCTTTGCTACTTTGTGGCATGATGAACCTTGCCCAGAAGCAGATTTCAATAAACCTGGTTTTACCATCATCCCAGTCTCCGTAGTCCTGTTGCTTTGGTGCGGTTTTGAATCTAACAAGACGTTCCTTCACATTCCAGTCTTACCGGACCAGTTTTTCACCACTTCCCAAACGAACTAAAACTAACATCTTCCACATTTTCTGAATCCTGAGACAACTTTGCCTCCAAACCTCTGTCCCTGGAACCCACCCCATACTTCATCTGTGCAAGTCCACCCAGGTCACCGGTCTTTTGAGAGGCAGCACACACCCACAGGGAAGTCTAATTGCTCCAGACCACATGAATCTTCAGTTCTCCGACTCCCACAGTGCTCATTTCACCATCCCTGGATGTACATGGCTTGTTCTCTAGCGGTCATTTGGTCTACTTTAGACAAGGGCCATGTTTCCACACCACCCAGAGGTGTGAAAGCTAAGCGAGGCAGATCTGAGTGATGAACACATCTGTAGGGCTCCAAGCAGGCCGCAGGCAGACAGCAGCTCAGAACAAACTGACAGCATGGTCTGCGGCTAACCGCCCAGAGGAAGAGTGTACAATCGCACCCTGAAGTCTGACGTCATCTTGGGAACTGCCCACTTACCCGGAAACTGACTGATGGGAACAGGGCGCATTCCCCTTGGCCAAGGGCCGCGTCTGCAGACGCTGGATCTGCGGAAGGAAGAGAAACCACACGGAATTCTGTCAGCACAGCTGCTCCCAGCAACCCATGGACTTTTCCTGTTTGCAAACAGTGAACTCTCGCCTCCTCCACAGGCCCCTCTCCAGAGGTCAAACACTGCTCTAAGATTCCCACAGACCACACAAGTTAACCTCTGGCTCACTAGGTGAACTTAAGTACTTGTGCTATAGCTTTTCTGCTTCATATAAAATTTTAAAAACACTATCAGGCTACTATCCAAAAATCTTGGCAGGCCATTTGAAAACTTTGCTGTCAATGCAAATCAAAAATCCCATTGAGGACCTGGCGCAATGACGTAGTAATTAAAGTCCTCACCTTGCATGCACTGGGATCCCATATGGGCGCCGGTTCTAATCCCGGCAGCTCCACTTCCCATTCAGCTTCCTGCTTGTGGCCTGGAAAGGCAGTCGAGGACTGCCCAAAAGCCTTGGGACCCTGCACCTGTGTGGGAGACCTGCAGGAAGATCCTGCCTCCTGGCTTCAGACTGGCTCAGCTCCAGCCGTTGCTGCTGCTTGGGGAGTGAACCATCGAATGGAAGATCTTCCTCTCTGTCTCTCCTCCTCTGTATATCCACCTTTCCAATGAAAATAAATAAGTCTTTAACAAAAAAAATCCCATCGAGACACACAACCCAGACTACCCACTTAGCAGAACGGCTAACTCTGAACAGATGTGGTCCACTGCTGGCAAGAACCCAGAGGATGGGGGGCTTCTGTATAAATTTATCAACCATGTAGGGAAACTGCTAAGTGGTATACACAAAAGCTAAACATTGCACCTGTGACTCTGCAACCCATCCCCATACGGCCCTGTGTGGCTTGCTTATGCCTACCACAAGACTTGTTCAAAAGCAGCTAAAAGTATATTCATAACATCCCCACACTGCAAATAACTCAGGTCTTTAGAAAGAGAATGCACAGAGGTGGGTGTGCTGCTGGGACCCAAGCTGCCTGTTGTTTCCTCAGTCCCTCCGCTTCACATCCAGCTCCCCACTAACAAGCACCCTAAGACAGCAGCTGACGGTTCCGATCCTCGGGTCCACGCCACCCAAGCGACAGACGAGACAGGGTTTTCCTGACTTTGGCTGCTGTGGATCTCTGGGGTGTGAATTAACGGATGGAGGAATATCAGATAAAATGAAAATAAATCTTAAAACACACTTTCAAATGAAAACGCCAACAAACCATGGAAAGACTGGAAAAATACTCCAGAACACAGACAGAGGAGTTAGATGAATACATCCCATAAACACAAAATTGAGCAAAATTAAGCCAGATCCATACAACAAATACATGACAAGTGATTACATTTACATATTACGTTCAAAAAATAGGTCAAACTGATCTATGGGGATGGAGTGTGAAGAGGAGTGCGTCCTGGAGGGACCAGGCATGGGGTACAGGGACCTCAGAAACATTCTACCGCTCCACACAGCACAGTGGAGCTCTGCTCCTGGGAGGCCTGGAGGACAGGGAGGACAGAAAGGCCAGACTCTCAGAACAGCGCCTCCAGGTATTAATCTTAGGTAACTGCAATCTCTTGCCTTCAATTTCCTGCTTAACTGTATGTATGCCAAGCCACCCCGGGACTCGCACATCCCGCACGGGACTACCTGGCCTTGAGCTTGGCCACCAATGCTGATTCAACTTCCTGCTGAGGCACACGGGAGCAGTCACTCACTGGGGAAGACCAGACTGAACGTCAGCTTCTTGACTTCTGACTGATCCAAGCCCAGTCGTTGTGGGCATCTGCCGCGCAAACCAGAGGGTACAAGGCCTCTCAGCCACCCAAACAGAATGAAAATAAATTCCAAAATATTTTTATTGTAGAGAGACAAGTGTCTGACAAGTGTTCTCACTGAAAATTCTCTTGAAATAAACAAACTAGATGTACCTAGCTCGAGATGTACACTTTAAGTAGGCAAGAATAATTTCCCCCCTTTCAAGTTTTACCTACTGGTGTACAGAACTAGCAGAGAAGACGTCTCTGGACGTCTCATTTGAATGAGACATAAGGAATGATAAAGAGGTGTCCATAGCACAGGCACAGCTCGTTTGTGTCCTGGCTGCTCCACTTCCCATCCAGCTCCCTGCTAATGTGTACCTGCGAAAGCAGTGGAAGATGGCCCAATCCCGTGGGCCCCAACCACCCATGAGGGAGACATGGACGGAGTTCCAGGCTCTGGATTTGGCCTGGCCCAGCTCTGATGTTACAGCCACGATGAAGCAGATCAGCAGATGGATGATCTCTTTCCTCTCTGTGTCTCTCCTGTCGTTTTGCATGTCAAATAAATAAAGCAAATCTCAAGAAAAAAAATAAGAAGGAAAAAAGAAAGAAAGAAAAAGAAGAAAGGGGGACCAGCACAATAGCTCAATTGCCTAATCCTCCACCTCTAAGCTCCTGCATTCCATACAGTTACAATTCATGCCCCTGATGCTCCACTTCCCATCCAGCTCCCTGCTAGCGACCTGCGAAAGCCTTCTAGGACTGTCCAAAGCGTGGGGACCCTGCACCGGCATCAGAGACCTGGAAGAAGCTCTGGGCTCCTGGCTTGGCAACAGTTCAGCTCCAATCATTGCAGCCACTTGGGGAGTGAACCAGCAGACGGAAGATCTTTCTGTCTGTCCTCTCTGTAAATCTACCTCTCCAATAAATAAATATTTAAATAAACAAATCTTTAAAAAAAAATCAAGGAAAAAAAAAAACAGAGCGCTTATGACCACAGACATTAATGCACAGGCTGAGGCAACAAGTCATCTTCTACCCGAACAGGAAGAGGAAAACACAGTTCCTGACCAACGCGGGGACAGAGGCACAACTTGAGTAAGACCCGCCAACTGTAACTTTAAAAAAGCAATTAATTACATAAAAGGGTACTGAGTTACCTGAAGAGAAAAAGAAAAGGACAGTTATATTCAGGGGGTCTCTCCCTCTGGGACACTCCCAGCAGGGTAACTGCCACCTGCACCTCTGTCCCAAACACCAGAGACTTCTCTAGCCCAGCAACGGACTCATGACCAAGCCTTAGTTTTAGAAGGCTAGATACAGTTTACTCAGAGCTCAAAGAAACAGATGAGTAACTACACCTAAGACTGTTGAATCTGATGGAAACCGTTACTAAATCAGAAAGCCAGAGAGAGGAGACAGGAGGGGGCAGTGGGAATTGAAGGCATGAGGGTAAGCTGGAGTGGTTACTGTGCTGTCAACTTCTGGGTAAGAATGAAAATTCATCTTGTAAAAAATGCATTATGTAGGGCCCGGCACGATGGCACAGTGGTTAAGGTCCTCGCCTTGCATGCCCAGGATCCCATATGGGCACCAGTTCTAATCCTGGAAGCCCCGCTTCCCATCCAGCTCCCTGCCTGTGGCCCAGAAAAGCAGTCGAGGACGGCCCAAAGCTTTGGGACCCTACACCTGCGTGGGAGACCCGGAAGAGGCTCCTGGCTTAGGATTGGCTCAGCTCCAGCTGTTGCGGCCGCCTGGGGTGTGCATCATCAGACGGAAGATCTTCCTCTCTGTCTCTCCTCTCTGTATATCCGCCTTTCCAATAAAAATTAAAAACAAATCTTAAAAAAAAATGCATTAGGTAGAGGTTATTGGGGTACAGCAGTTGCTATAGCCACTGCTATAATGCCAGCATGCCATATGGGCGCTGGTTCCTATCCAGGCAGCTCCCTTTTCTATCCAGCCAGGAAAACCACAGACGATGGTCCAAGTGCTTGGGTCCCTGTACCCACACAGGAGACGCAGAGGAAGCTGGTCCTCTGGCTCCAGATCAGCTCAGCTCTGGCTGTCAAGGTGACTTGTGGAGTGAGCCAGGGGACAGAGATCTTTCTGCTTGTCTTTCCACCTTTATAAACAACTTTCAAATAAAAATAAATATTAAAAAACACTATACAAATATACTGGGTACAAAAAAATCGGGATAAATATAAGGTGTCACCTAAATTACAAAGAATATTAATGTTAAGACTTGCTGCTTCTGGGCCAGGTGCAATAGCATAGCAGTTAAAGACCTTGCCTTGAATGCGCCTGGATCCCACATAGGCACCAGTTCTAATCCTGGCGGCCCTGCTTCCCTCCAGCTCCCTGCCTGTGGCCTGGGATAGCAGTAGAGGACAGCCCAACACCTTCGGTTCCTACACACGTGTGGGAGACCCGGAAGAAGCTCCTGGCTTTGGACTGTTTCAGCTCCAGCTGTTGTGGTCATTTGGGGAGTGAACCATCGGATGGAAGATCTTCCTCTCTGTCTCTCCTCCTCTCTGTGTATCTGCCTTTCCAAGAAAAAGAAATAAACCTTAAACAACAACAACAAAAAGATTTGCTGCTTCTGCTCACAGATCCGCCAACTGCTGCTGTGGGCTCTAGGGCCTGGGGACTCCCACGTGTGTTCGGGTCCTATAAGAGGTGTGGGGAAGGGAGGAAAGATCCCATGCTGACATGCTGGCATGGTGTGCCCCTTGGGTGGGCTTGGGGTTGGTTGCACTGAGCTGCACTGCAGCACCCATCAGTGTCACATGAGTCAAATGCGATGCTGCACGTACCAGCATGCACAGGAACTGGGCTCGGGGGCAGACCTGGTGGGGGTTACTGGGATCATTCTGACTGGGCTGCAATTGCTACTGGTATGTATGAGGGCCAACTGTGTGGTGGGCAGGGTTGGGCTGGGTCACAGCATCCACTGCTTTGTATATGAGATGGGGCTGGGGAGAGAAGTGACTGCAATAATGTGTATGTGTAGGCTGTTGTGGGTGATGGATTGAGCAGGACCCGACACCGCTGGCACACGCAGGAGTCAGGTCTGGGGCCACCTCTAGTGAGGTTTCTTTGGGGACCTCCCCCTAACTGGACCCATGGACTGAAAATTCTAACCACAGGGAAAATCACAGGATCTGTGAAATTTGGAGTGTTCGTGTCAGAACTTGGCTTTCTCAGTTGCCGAAGCCTGTGCAGTGGACGGCATGGCAATGCACACAGGGGACATGACACATCCCTGAGGCCTGTAGAGGGCGTCCAGCACCCTGGAGGGCAGAACAAATTGGGACAGCTCTACTGCTCCAGCTTTGACGGTGAGCATCTAGGTGAGTGGAGACCCTAAGGCGGACTACATCAGCCAATGGACCATGGAGCAACAAAACCAGAGCACCTCGGAACCACCAACTCCACTCAAGTAGTACCCAGGAATGATATCGAGTGGCTGGCCCACATCCTTGGGTACTGCTGTGGTTAGGCTGCTGGGAGCAGCCCTCTTCTTCCCCCAGAAACAGGAAAAATACAAAGGAAGACTGGAAGCAGCTGTCTCATCCACTTTCCCACCCTTGTTGGTGGTCCACATGCGCAGACATTATTCTCAACTATGCAAACATTATCCTAAGATAAATTTTGAAAAAACAAAAAGCTTTTCGATGACATTAAAAAACTGCAAGCAGGGCCCGGCGCGGTGGCGCAAGTGGTTAAAGGTCCTCGCCTTGCACGCCCGGGATCCCATATGGGCGCCAGTTCTAATCCCGGCAGCCCCGCTTCCCTTCCAGCTCCCTGCCTGTGGCCCGGGAAAGCAGTGGAGGACGGCCCAAAGCTTTGGGAACCTGCACCCACGTGGGAGACCCGGAAGAGGCTCCTGGCTTCGGATCGGCATAGTATCGGCCCGTTGCGCTCACGTGGGGAGTGAATCATCGGACGGAAGATCTTCCTCTCTGTCTCTCCTCTCTGTATATCTGCCTTTCCAATGAAAAAATAATAAAAATAAATCTTAAAAAAAAAAAAAAAACTGCAAGCAGAAAAGGGCTGCATGTGAATAGGTTCCACAAACCTGTCTGTAAACCACAGTTCCTGAACGGAGAGGGGCATCTGGGGACTGATCCCAGGGAGAGATCTTGCGTCTCTTTGTCTTACAATAAGGTTTTTAATAAAAAAAACAAACGACCAGCAGAAGAGCTTTCCAGTTGTTTACACAGAACACAAAAAACACGGAGACCAGGCTGCTTAGGAAGATTTTCTGAAGAGCTGAGAGGTGAACGCAAACATGTAAGGGCAACAACGGTGAAAGAAAAAGCCAGCCCTTTTTCTCTGAGCTCAACCAGAAGCTCCACGCACGGGGACCACCATGCCACACAAGGAACCAAGGCGGGGCCGGGGAGGGGGTAGGCCGCACTCCAAGCGGCCAGCTGAGCGCCACCATCGGCCAAGGGCATTTTAAAACTCATGCCCACCTCGGCTGGCCAACCCTGCAGGATGGACGGTGCCTGTCGTGCAATGCGCTGCAGGGACGTGCGGACCACGGACACCCCGCATCCAGCTCCCTGTCACTCCTGCATGCACTCCCCGAAGGGGACCCAGTCACCCCCGCTCTGCCCCCAATACCTTCCATGTCAGCTCATCCCGCTTCCTCTCGGGGTGCAGGTACCCCGGCCCGCCGGGCGGTGTCTTTGCAGGTCCGGGGTCAGGTGTCCGGCTCAGCCATCACGCGTGCCCAGGCAGGAGTCGGCGGCACCCACGTCGCGCAGGTGCGTGCTCTCGCGTCTTGAGGCCGCGCACCCGGAGAAGCCCCCGTAGTGCGGGGGCATCAGACAGGCACGTTGTTGGGGTTGGAAGAGGGTCCTCGGGGACAGAAATCGAGCCGAGACGGGACGCACAGTTCAGCCTCGAGCACCAACACCCCTCGGTGCGCACTCTGGAAGCGACTCAGGAACCCACGGTCCGGCCCACGTCCTCCGTGGGCTCCTACGCCGGAAGACGCACCTGTTGCCGGGTGGGCGGACAAGACCGGAACAAAAGAACAAAGCCTCACCAAGGACCGGTCAGGACCGCCCGTGCAGAGCACTCCCCAGCTTCCTCCCACGGTGCCCACGTCACGCCTCCGGCGGGCCAGCAGTAACCATGGTGATGCCCACACTCTGACCAAAGCTCCGGAAGTTGCCGAACGGTCGCCAGAGTCGGACAGCGAAGACCCGAGCGGCCGTGACCTCCTTTCCCGCCCACAAGGCAAAGCTTTAAAGGCCACTTCCGGCCGCGCTGAGAGAGCCCCGCCCCGCGCGCCTGTGCGACCAGCACGCCTGACGCTGGCTCCCAGGATGCTCGGCGGCGGTGTGTCTTACGTCATTACTCGAGCGCCGGGCTGCTGGTGTGGGTTGCGTCACCGGGCTGCAAATCTTAGTTGTCGCGGTTTGTTTGACGAAACAATTGAAAGCGTTTGTGGAGCCGGTGCGTGGTTACTTGTGCTTTCTTGTGTTTCGTGTTCACCGTCTCCTTCCCCTTTATTGCCTTCTGTTTCGTCTTCAACGCCCCTTTCCCCGTTCCTTTTTGAAAGCAATGGTCTTGACCGCTTGCCTTGCTTTCGTGCCTGCAAGAAGGGACGGGCGAGGTGACGCCACCCCAGTTTTCATTCCTGTCAGTGCCTTGGGCGTACATAGGCTGTACCTGTTTCAGGAGAAGCCCAAAGCCGCGTCGATCCAGCTCGTTAGTGGGTTTTGGTGTTTTTAAAGATGTGCTGGGCTTGTCACCAGTACTTGGATAGAGGGGCTAAGCCTCAGTGGCACGCCTTGTACTGGCTGACAAAACACGGAACCCTAGCACCCTCGCAAGCAATGTTCAGGAAAAGCTCCAGGCAAACTAAAGAGCTACTGAGGAGCAAAAATAATTGCAGGAAATGTTTTGTGTTCTCCTACAGAGTACACGAAGACATGGCAGGGAGCAGTGGGAGAGAGCAGGCTATGAAAAGAGCCCCGGCGAAAGGGGGGTACAGACATGTTGCAGGAACGTTTAATATGCTGAGAGGTGTCGGGGAGCACCTGAGCACGTGCGGTAGACGCTTGAATCATTGGAAAAAACTTGTAATCCATAGAAAAGGGGTGGGTGGCTTCTTCAAATGGCCACAGTGGCTGGGCCTGACCCCGGCTGAAGCCAAGAACTTTTTTTTGGTTGTTTGTTTAAGATTTATTATTTTTATTAGAAAGGCACATATACAGAGAGGAGGAGAGACAGAGAGGAAGATCTTCTGTTGATGATTCACTCCCCAAGTGGCCTCAACAGCCGGAGCTCAGCCAATCTGAAGCCAGGAGCCTGGAGTTTCTTCTGGGTCTCCCTCACAGGTGCAGGGTCCCAAGGCTTTGGGCTGTCCTCAACTGCTTTCCCAGGCCACAAGCAGGGAGCTGGATGGGAAGTGGAGCTCCTGGGATTAGAACTGGCGTGGTGGCCTGGTGTGGTCACCCAGTGGCTGTAGTCCTCACCTTGAATGTGCAGGGATCCCATGGTTCAAAAGGCAAAGTCAATTTTAAGATGTATGAATGTTACATTGGATAAGATCTCAGAAGGAAATAAAGGGCTTGGAATTATCAACTAAAGGAATATGATTCTTGTATGATGGCAGCGAGCACATTGGCTGAACTACGTTCTACGCCTGGGTGATAAAAGAACCTGTGATTGTCCGAAAATTGAGGGGTAATGACTGCTCTAAACCCAAGCTAAGCAGGATTCCTGGCTGGAAAGTGGAAAAAGAAGTTTCCATATAAGGAGAAGTTTATCAGCATAGCTTACAGCATTACAGATTGGAGCAGGTAGATGGGCCAGGTGTGGATGTAACAAAAGCTTTTCCAGATGTAGTGGAAGAAGGACATGATGTTAGACCTTTACAAATCTGAAGGGAGCTTAAGGGCATTGCAATGTGTTCTTGCTAAGGGTGCTCACCTTCTCAGAAAGTCTTGAAAGAGCGCTCAGGCTTTGTGGCTGTGGGGTGTGCCAGGCAGACAGAGCGTGGTCCGTCATCATGGTCTTTCTGAGAGAGTGAGAAAGATAGTGAGACTGAAGATGGGCTTCTGTGACTCTCTTACACAGAGCTGGATTCTGTGAACTGAGGGAGTTTACACTGTGCAACATGCTGCCTTTAGTGAAAGGCAAACCCAGGAAAGACTTGCTAATTAGAAAGGGATCGGCCCTAGATGGTTTGGAAAATGTTTGTCATTCTTCCTACAGATGAGGCTTTCCATGTATGTTGTGGGTTAACAGGAAGCTACGCCGAATTTCTGTCTTCAGTGACTTCTCTGTTTTAGTATGTCATGTATGAAGGTAAGTGGTGTGGCTTGAATCACACAAGACTCCCAAACTCATGCAGGCGATTCAGTGTCAGTTGTTGGGCTATGGTCCTCCTCTGGAGGACACTGAAGCCAGTTACATATCTAGGAGGTGGCCAGGACTTGCCCTGGGAGAGAAGTTAGAACAAGAGGGTTGGTTGCAGAGCTGAGCTGGGCCCAGCCACCCCACTTGCTGTGTCACCCTGTGAGCCCTTCTTGACACACCCTCTTCTGGTGCCACCCTCTGGTGTCACCAGATCACAGAGGCGATGCGATCTGCCCCATCTTGGCCCGTCACCTCCGAAAGACCAAGTCAAAGCAAACCCGTGGTTCCTAGGTCAGTGGTGTTCGGTGGTTCGTGGAAATAAAAACTGACTAGTACTATAAATATTCAGCTAGCAGATGGTGTTTCTGAGTTATCTAGTCAGAATTTTGTTGAGAATCTGCTGCGTGCCAACCACTAGCCAAAACTACAACATCAACAAAAACCATTTTCAAAGAAAACTCGGTGAATAAAGACTTACCTTGGCGAGTAAAAATCAAAGTTTACTATGGTTTCACTCAGTGTCAACTCTTAAATAATTCACTTAGGCTATTTCGATAGCTCAGGCTTCTAAAGAAAGAACTGAAAACTTAATTTAAACATAATGCTGTCCAATTGTGTCTTTTTGTACAATTTTGGAAGCAGTCCTATTATTACTGTTGTTATTTTTGCAGGGGAGAACACAAATGCAGTGCCCCACTACCACAAATCATGCAGTTGAGTTTCCCACATTTGGGGAGAATTCAGGGATCAGTACATCTGGAGGGCAGCGGGTGAGCCACGCCCTGCCCTGGGATCGAGGTCATGGTGTCTCCCTGGCCATGTAAATATTTGGAAACAGTCTTTTTTTTTTTTTTTTTTTTAGCTGAAACAGTGTGACTTGGAGCCAGAGTTGTGGTGTAGCAATAAAGCGGTTGCCTGCAAGGTCAGCTTCCTGTAGGATACCAGTTCACATCCTGACCACTATGTTCCCCACTAGGCAGCAGGGATGCCCGAGTGTTTTGGTCCTTGCCCATGACGCTCCTGGCTTCTGGTTCCTTCAGGCCCAGCCCTGGCCTTCATGGGGAGTGAGGTCTGTGCCTCCCTCTCTTGGTAACTCTGACTTTCAAATAAATACACACATCTTTTTTCTAAAAGCTTAACTTATGATGTGTCATTAGATAAATATTAATGTATAAACATGTTTTTCAGTGGCAGAAAAAAAGATTGTATATTCTTCCAAGGGAGAATAATACTTACTGAGATTTAACAGGTAGACAAAAATGCATATAAAAGTGAACAACCCAACATATTTACACACAACGCATACCCCACTGCTCTCAATTTGAGAACTAAACTAATTGCCCTATTACCAGAATTCCCACCCAAGACTAGCAGGACCTCCTTGTCCCTATATCCCCTGGGTAATCTTATGCTGACTTCTAACACTGTGAATGAATTCCACTCATTTTCCAACTTCCAATATATAGAACACCCTACACATGCATGTGCGTAGGATGCGTGTTCCCCCTCCTATAAGAATTTTTGAGATTCCTACATGTGGCTGTAAATTCTTGTCATTTCTTCTTTGCAGGCACCACATTCCGTGGTATGAAAAAAATCTAAACAATTTGTCCTTTTAATTGTGTGGACCTGCAATTCTTTTCTTGTTTAGTAACAGAACTCTGGTCTTTTGCAACTAAGCCCTGCTTCCCTTCCTTCACTGAGATCCGTCCTGCAGAGTTTCTTTTTTTGTACAGCAAGAAGCGTTTTCACGTTTATTTGGTATTTAACTTCATTCAAAGCTTGAGTTGCACCTTATGTGATAAAAATGTGTAACAAACAGGATAGACATGCATGTCCTACAGACAACCTTCTACAGTCTAATTTACATAGATGTGGACAACTGGTCACCCCCTTAAAACTGATTCATGTCCATTCAACATGGTTCTCCACTTCTTGTAGCCCTCCTCTGCTCTGCCTCCACTGGCCACCTCCCTCTCTCCACCTTTCTTTGTCTTCCTTCCTCCAGTCTAGGACGTGAAATCTGTTTTCTGTCCAGGGCCACAGGACAAATGAACTATGTAAAAACAGCCTGTCATAGAGTTAATGTGTTTCAAATCCTGCCTGTGTTTACCTTGATATGGCCAGACCCAATGTCTGCAGGCCGATCGGTCCCTGTCCCGGATTGATTTTCCCCTTTTTTAAAAATTTGTATTTTATGTGAGTATAGGGTCCCAAGAAGTAGCCAGAAGCCGATTTACAGCTATCTATGTGTCCAGGAAAAGCTCAGTGGCCCTAAACTAAAATGCAAAACTTCATTTCGTTGGTTAATGATTTGCTCCGGACCCGGCATGTCTCCCAGGCTTCAGCCTGGAACAGGAGGGGCCGCGGGAGCCAGTTATGTCACCGGCCTGTCAGCATTCCATTCACCAAGGCACACCTGAATGGACATTCCTTACATAGTTGGGGCACAGACAGCCCCTTTGCCTGCCCACGTGTCTAGAGGGGTATAAAACTCCACCCATATCTCAGAGGCCCTTTTCGCCTACCTCTTCCTTCTCTCCGCGAAAGGGGCCTAGGAGTGGATTTTCCAATAAAGCTTCCATTACAACTCTCAACAACTTGCAGATATTATTCCACCAGCGGGCGGGTGGTCTGTGGTCATCATCTAACAGTTAAATTTCTAGAAAAGAAGCGCCTGCCTTATAACAAACAAAAACTAGAATCTTCCTTTGGAAATTAGGCGAGTTGCAGGGAGGAGAGGAGCTCAGGAGCCATCTATTTGCAAGGCTTGGAGCAGACGGCCACGTGGGATAGACGCTCCTTGCCACTCCTGTGGCCCGGACGCTGGGGGGCGGGGAGGTACCGCAGGGCAAAGAGGTGCAGAAAAACAAAAACAAAAAACAAGCTTAAGGCGTCTTTTACTGGCCCTCGCCCAAGACTCCGGTCGACCCAGTAAATCCCTGCCTCAAAGCCTTTAGCGTCTGTAAGGGAGCGTCAGCGCCGGGGTGATTGGCTGGAGAGCCCCGCCAGGGAGAGGCGCTCCCCGTGGCTGGACCCGGGGCACCCGGCCAGGGATTAGCGCACCCGGTGGCTGGACCTGGGGCACCCGGCCAGGGAGAGGGAGAGGCGCTCCCCGTGGCTGGACCCGGGACACCTGGCCAGGGAGAGGGAGAGGCGCTCCCCGTGGCTGGACCCGGGGCACCGGGCCAGGGAGAGGGAGAGGCGCGCTCCCGGTGGCTGGACCCGGGGCACCTGGCCAGGGAGGCGCAGAGCCCCAAGCCCTCCGCACGTGCGCTTCTGGCGGCCGCCAGGTCCACCCTCGGGCTCCCCGGTGCCCGGCAGGCAGAGCCCGAAGGCGCCTCGCAGCACCGCTTGTCCTCCCTCCCGCCCCAGCAGTCTTCGGAGGAATGCATCTCCTCCTGGCCTGGAGAGTTTCTATCATGTTGTGTAGTCGTGGCCGAGTGGTTAAGGCGATGGACTAGAAATCCATTGGGGTCTCCCCGCGCAGGTTCGAATCCTGCCGACTACGATGTGTCTTTTGCTCCGGTTGAACCGGAAGCCGGAAACTCATGAGAGTACTTGATAGTTCCACAACGCCGCAGGAATTCTTTTGACAAGTCCGAATTCTGTCCGGTATCACAATGGCTTCATAATGGGCCGTTGAACCGGAACAAACCAGGGAAGAACGGCAAATTCCTTATGTACTGTTTTGGGAGGCCAACCTCTATCCCTTCCTCGTTAGTATAGTGGTGAGTATCCCCGCCTGTCACGCGGGAGACCGGGGTTCGATTCCCCGACGGGGAGGATGATGTTCTGTTTTTAAGTCTTTAATAGAGCTTTATTTCTTGCAAAGCTCACCAAGCAGCAGCTGTATGACTTCCAAGCTAAATTACAAGAAGTGAGGGAGAGAATCTACGCTACAACTTGTTGTGATCAATACATATTTTTAGGAAAACAGTAAAACATCACAAATAACATAAAATAAAGAAAACTCAGTAAAAATCTACCTCCTTGAAAAATGATTAATACTGTTGACTGCGCAAGTTGCTCAGGGAAAAAAAAGGTAACAGAAATTGTTAATATCATGAAAGAAGAGACTTTGGCCCATTTTGCATAAACTAAAAGAATGGTTTCAGTGACATTGTGCTAACTTACAATAGACAAAATCAATCAGCTCCTCAGAAGATTGTTAACTATGAGGGCCCATCCAGCAAGAAATATTCTGCATTGCTGTCTCACCATCAAAAAGCAGAATTTGTGATTGAAAACCATTTCACAAAGAAAAATCCAGACCTAAGTTAGCTTTCCCAGGAAACCGAAAAGGAGAGGACATTTTCCTATTCAGGAGGTGGCCATCACTGACAAGAACAACAACAAAACCAAAAAGCACAGTTGCAAAAACTCTGAAAAAACAAAAAGCCAAGACCCTGGTTGGCCTAGCAGTCCTGGTCGAGCAGTGAGGGGCGATGGCTTCGAAGGGGCTCAGATGAGATCAATTTACTTATGGCCTGCAGAGCAACGGGCTTGATTAATTACATAAGATGTTACATCTGAACATTGTCCTTCCTCATTAGTATAGTGTTGAGTATCCCCACCTGTCATGTGGGTGGCTGGGGTTCAACTCCCTGATGGGAAGCTTCCCATTTTCTTACAGAAGAGCACATTTTCCTATCTCCTTCACAATTATAGGACATTCCAGAATACTGAAGCCTCATCCATTTTAAAATCTAGAGAAGCTAGCTTCAAGATGCCGTGAGATTTTTAAATACTCTTCATTGAACCTTGGTAAAGATATTGTCAGGATGTTTGGCCTACTTTGGGGCAGGATGCCTTTTTTCTACGAAAGGCCATGTGGGTATTTGTAATTCCATTCATACAAAACTTAAATTCTGGAGTTAGTGAACTTTGAGGTCTAGCTGTGACTGCCTTTGAAGAACCAAATGAGAGCATTTTGAGAGCATTAAATCCCTGCCCAGGCGGGCGTCTGTGTGTAACCCATGAGGCTGTACTGGCCAACGTGGTATACCTGGTACTTCTGGACTAGAACCAAGACCAAAGCAGTGTGTGGGAAGACAGTGGAGCCATGGGCCTGGGTGAGTTCTTGCATTGGGCTGTGAATGTCACAGTGTCTTTAAAAGCTGGTGGGGGGTGGCGGGGAGCATTATCTGAGTGTAATCTGAAATGCTTGAGAGCCCAGAAGGATTTCAGATTTTTGGGGGGTGGATGGAGTTTAAAATATTTGTATGTACATAAGGAGATTGTCAGGGTGAGGCCCATATGTAAAACCAAATTATGTTTATGTTTCATGTGCAACTTGTACGTATGCATGAAGGTCGGTTACTGTTGTCAGTGCCCCTGAGTGGTGATTGTCTCCTGTCACACCAGGTCAGGTGTGGAGTTTTCCATTGTGATGTCTTGCCAGCATTCAGAAAGCTGGGAACTAGGGGCTGGATCTCAGATTGTTGGATTAGGGGCGCAAAGCCCATAGAACAATAGGGATAGTAAGCACAGTGCTTACCCAGGGCGGGACAAGTAAACCAAAGGACTAGAAGAGCCTGTCAGGAGCAGGTATTTGATTTAAAACGAAAGAGACCCCGCATGCGCAAGGGCAGGGTTATTCTTTTCAAGAAGCTGAAACTCAGAAAAGTGGTGGCTCGGTGACTTTTGGGCTCTGGAGTTTTCAAAGACTGAATGAGTGTTGTGCTCTTTATAAGCTAATTTACCCGAAACTTCCAGAACAAACATTGCTCTTACGGCTCAAAGCCAGGTAAAGACCACTGCAGCTGAACAGTCTCCTCAAGGTGAGGCGCACAAAACACTTCTTAGTTACAGCTTCTCAGAGCAGC